AAACCCGTACAGTCAACAGGAAGAGCTGCTGAGATTGCGGGAAGAACGTGCAGGGTTAGACTAAAAAGGTGAATAAATGCTTTTAGAAACAAAAACCTGCATGGAAGGGATCAGAGCGCCTGCATTTTGCACGCTCAAGTATTAGACAAGACCTGATTCCGCACCGCTGATGGCAGCTTAGCACAAGCAGTAGTTAACAACACAGCATTTGAGAAAGGGGGGATTTAAAAAGTAACTCGTTCCTCTGTATAGGATTCCCTCTGTCAGGAAACAAGTGAAAGGGGTTCCAAAATCCCTTATTTAACTACACTGCCTCTGAAGCGTGAAGCTTAGAGCGGTGTAATACCAAGACAGAGCTTCTTACTCTCTTCTGCTTCCCCTGAGAGCTTAGATACCTGAAATGGACGAGTTTACTTTTCCTCACCAAGGAATAGAAGAAATTAACCAATACACCAGAACCTGCTCTTCCGAATATACTTTCCCCAGATCCAGTAAACCCCTGTGCGCAGGACACGAGCTCCCTGTGGTTAAGTCTCACCGAATGAAACCCCCAGGCTTATCAGCTGCTCCGCACGAGCAGGCAGGGCTGCGTGTGCTGCCTCCAACAGCTCCTCAACGCAGCAGCGCCCAGGAAGGGGATTTCGGAGTCCCAGCGGTCCGAGCTCCCTTCCCAAAGAGCACAGGTGACTCCCCAGGGCATCTGCCCCAAGCCCCGACCAGCGCAGCTGCCGAGCGCGCAGTCCTGTTCTGCAGCAAGTCCCAACAGACGCCTGGGGCCCTCCCGTCAGCGCTCACTGCCGGACCTACGAACCCATCAAGTCTCCAGTGCCGAATCTTCGTTGTTCCCAGCCACGTTTTGCTAACTGTGGGCAAGTTTCATGAAGCTAATGATAAATGTCAGGCACAGACTGCGCTCTGTGCACACGTGTACGCGTGTGAATACCCAGCTCCCTGCTAAATGTCATTTAGCCCGTTTTAGAAACATTCATATTCAGAATTATTCAGATCTTTCCAAGTGCCTCAGTGACAAGGGAACGTGTACTCTTGTGTCAGGTGCCACTGACTGCATCTCTCATTAGACTCTTTGGTAATTATATGTGGTAATAGGCTCATCTCCTGGCAGGTTTTCTACATAACCCACAGAGCACGGTGAGGTAGAGGGGCTTGGGTGAAGAGAAGTTTGCTTCAAGGAAAAACATCTATTTGAAATCAATTTTCCCCAGCCGAGACCTAAATTAAAGCGAAATACAAACCACAGTCCATCTGTGCATGCAGAACCTTTTGAAGCGTTTGTTTTAATCGTATCTATTGCCTCTTCAAGTAATTAAGACAGATATGGCCAAATGCAGCGTGTTTAACACAAAAAAGCATCACATTTTTCCTGCCACAATTTCACGTTACACACCATCTACTCCCGATGAGGGAGATGGTTTTGTTCTACGTGTGCAAGTCTGTCATCAGAGCAACCTGCACCACAGCTCGAGTTCCCAATGTACTCCGGTCGTCAAAAGAACTGAGGTTTGCGACGGAAGACAGCCCACCAAAAGCCCATTTTGCTTGCACTTGACTCAACAGCACTCAGTAGCTACAGAATCTCACCCCTGCCATCAAAACGCACCACTTTGTTCGCATACAAAATGCAAGTAAGGAATCCCTTTAGTAAAAGCAAGCACAGAGCTGGACTCAAAAACACAGAGCAAGGGCCTCAGCGCAGGGCCAGAAAGACTTGGAAAGTGTACAAAATACTTTAAGCTCCTTAAATGCCCCTCGGATGGAACAGCACAGAGCAAGCCATGGAAATCAGTGTTGACACAAAGAAAGCAATTTGTATGTAATGACTGTTAATTGCACAGTTCCTCCTGGGCAACAAATGATAACAACTGGAACACCCGGAAAAGAGTAATTGCTTTGACTCAGCATCCCAGCATGTCTCTCCAGAGCAAAAAACCCCAAACCGACGCCCCAGCCACCTGAATGAACTCAGCTACTTGAAGGGTTTATTATATTTGAGATTATACAATGACAGACTGGTTTGGGTTGGAAAGGACCTTAGAGCTCCAGCCAGCTCCAACCCCTGCCACGGGCAGGGACACCTTCCACTAGAGCAGCTTGCTCCAAGCCCCTGTGTCCAACCTGGCCTTGAGCACTGCCAGGGATGGGGCAGCCACAGCTTCTCTGGGTACCCTGTGCCAGCGCCTCAGCACCCTCACAGGGAAGAGCTTCTGCCTTAGATCTAACCTGAACTCGCCCTGTTTCAGTTTGAACCCATCACCCCTTGTCCTGTCGCTGCAGTCCCTGGTGATTATTACCCAGCTCAGTCCTTCTAACGATTCACTTTATGCCTCATCCCTTGCCATTTAACACAAAGGCAAAAACTCTTCACTGATTTCTATCTTAACCTATTTAAATGGATTTACTGGCTCACTTGTGTTCTACTAATTAGGTACCATCTTTCTAATCAGGACAGCTGGAACTTTCAAACACACTTCTTCCACAATAGCCTTTGAAAAGGTCTTTTTCTTAATGCACCACTAAGTGTTTTGCTTACAGTCACACAAAGCCTGAAGTGTTTTGTCCCTTTCAGGCTCTCCATCCTGTTTTCTTTCAACTTACTTAAGGCTTTTGGGTCACAAAATTCAACCCCAACAAGAGGCTGCGCTCACCGAAGCTTCCTGGAACATAGGGCAGATAGCCCACGACAACCATTGAACCGACACTGGGAAATTCTGAGTAAGTCCCTTGAAACAACACGGGTTAGCACAGCAGTGGGGTGACCCACCTTAAAATGCCCCAAATCCAAACCTTCACTGGAAAACTGCAAATCCTCTCTGAAACCCAAAGTTTTGCTCCTGGGGCAAGGAGCTGTATTTACAGCTATTGCCACCAGCTCTCCTCCATTGAAAGTCAGGGATTGTAACTAAACTAAATCCACTTGAACGTGGCAGACTACAGGGGCAAAGAAAACAGGCTGGCTTTGCTTACACTGAATGTCTGACAGGGTGATTCCGAAGGAGGAAATCGTTTTATTCTGTATGTAAAAGAAAGCGGCATCAACCAACCTACAATGCTTCATCAAGTGATGCCTTTGTCAGCCCAGCACTTTACCCGTTGTGCCATACAGCTTCACAACACACGAAGCTTTGGTTTACCTTGAAACGATTCCTAGCACAGACACCCCGACCTGTGTTTCTATACGGTTAGTAAGGCATGTCCTCAGGCTATGTCATTTGCACTCTCTTCCTCTGCAGCCTCCCTGGGCGGTATGAAGAGGGTTAAACGACATGGAGCAGGAAGCACGACAGACTGCAAGGCCAGGGTAACTCTCATCACTGCCAGTTCTGGTCAGGTTTTGCTCTATTTTCTTTTAACAGGTATCGTAGTGATTCTTTCTTCCTGGGAGAGGGAAACGCAGGAGCACACACCTCAAACAAGAGGTTTAACATCGTGTTTGCTGCTGATTAAACCAAAAGGCAGCCAAGCAACATGAACGGAATGCAGCTGCTGGAAGGAAAATCCTTTGCAGCTATATGGGGAACAGACACCGGTGCGGGTAAACAGAGCTCAAACCCTTCGCCACGTTGGGTAAAGGGAGTTTTGGGGTGGTTTCTTGTCGCCTCGGTGAACGAGCAGAGAAGAACGTGTAACCGTGACCTCTAGTGGCTACACCTCGACTACCAGCCACAGCAAAGCCTGCGGAGTCCTCTGCTGACGGGCTCGGATCCTTCTCCAAGTGTTGTTAAATGGGGTTAAACCCAGCAGCGCTCACTCGCACTCTGCTTTAAACCAACCATTTTTTACCGAGCAACTCGGTGGCTGTCCCTTGATTCTGCTACATCTAAATCTCAGCCGAGAGAGTAACATGGCAGCAACAAGCACAAACCCGCCCCAAACCCAACCCAGAAAGACGAGGAGATAGATGTACCTGGCGCAAGAACGGGGCTGGTAAAGCACCGGTTTAACCGGGATGTCCCTTCACAGCCACAGCGCTTGAGCGGCAGCTCTTTGGCGCTGGTTTTGAAGGGATGTACTCACCGGCGCTGCCTCCCGACGGGCGGAGGCACATTCTCAATTGGAAACACCTCACCGACAGGCTGGGCTGTAGCTTGGCTGCTTTCACCCCGCGATGCTCCTGATGTCAGTAACCCCCGAAAACACCTCGACTAGAAAGGATTTTCAACCCCCTGTACATACTGCAACCGACCGGAATGGAAGCTATAGACAGCAGGCAGGGTCCTACCGGCTTCTGATGGTGTAACGGTGGTACGGAGACGGATGCAGCACACAAGGTGTCTCAGACCCTGAGGCGGGCGGCGGCAGGGAAGAAAGCTCTTCCCGAGGCACCTCACTCCTCCTGATGTCCACACGCTACGTGAGGAGGAAAAAGCGTTTCCTCGCTCACATGTACGGGGGGTGTGGGACGGGCTCCACAGAGCCCCCCGCTCTTGCAGGCACGGCCCCGTGCACTGGGGGTCAGCGACAGCGGCATCAACGCTTCACTTCCAGCTCTGCTTTTTGGGGGGTGCGGAACGAACGCCCCCAGAGCTCGGCGCCTGATGAACGCCCTCACCCTTGACGCCGCTCGGGCGGCCCAGCACTGACCCCTCTGCCCGGGGGGGGGGGGGTCCCCGAGGGGTGGCGGAGCCCAGCGCTCCGCTACATGTGCGCGGGCGCCGGTAGGAGGCGTGTCCGTCCCCTCCTACCCCCCCCCCCCCCCCCCCCCCCGCCGCACCGCCTCCCGCTCGCCTCCGAGCCGGCACCGGAGCGGAGCGGCGGGTGCGGAGCTCCGCGGCCCGGCCATGCCCCTGCGGGGCCCGGCGGAGCCTGCCGCCCGCCGGCGCTGAGCCCGCGGCCGCACCGTGTCGTGCCGTGCCGGGGCGGCTCCTCCGCCTCCTCCCATCCTCTGCCGCTCCCTCCCTCCCTCCTTCCGCGCCCGCCCCGTCGCCGAGCGGAGCCGCCAGCGGTGCGAGCGGAGCCGGGGCTGCCCGAGCCGAGCCGAGCCGCGCCGCCCTGCCCTGCCCTGCCCTGCCCGCCCTTCCCCTCCTCCGTTCCGCCCAAGCCATGAACTTTGGCCGCGGCCCCGCGGTGGTGTTGAACGTCGGGGGCACCCGGTACTCCTTCTCCCGGGAGGTGCTGAAGGATTTCCCGCTGCGGAGGGTGAGCCGCTTGCACGGCTGCCTCTCGGAGCAGGACGTGCTGGAGGTGTGCGACGACTACGACCGGGAGCGGAACGAGTACTTCTTCGACCGGCACTCGGAGGCCTTCGGCTTCATCATGCTCTACGTGCGGCACGGCCACCTGCGCTTCGTGCCGCACATGTGCGAGCTCTCCTTCTACAACGAGATGATCTACTGGGGGCTCGAGGGCTCCCACCTCGACTACTGCTGCCAGCGCCGCCTCGACGACCGCATGTCCGAGACGTGCTACTACGCGGCGGAGGAGCCGCCGGGGGAGCCGAGCCGCGGCTCCGAGGGCAAGGGCCGGCGGGCGCCGGGCGCTGAGGGCAGGAAGTGGCTGGAAAGGATGCGGAGGACTTTCGAGGAGCCCACGTCTTCCGTGGCCGCCCAGGTCCTGGCCACCGTCTCCATCCTCTTCGTCATCGTGTCCATGGTGGTGCTGTGCGCCAGCACCCTGCCCGAGTGGCGGGCGCCGGAGAACCGCAGCGTGGAGGAGCAGAGCAGGTACACAGCAGAGTCAGTGAGGGAGCCCTCAGGGTAGGAGGATCCTTTATTTTCCCGCTGTCCGGTCCCCGTGTGTCCCGTCCAGTGTGTCCTGCCCCTCGTCCTCACGGTCCGTAGCTGTAACCCGCCGCCCTGAACGGCGGACATCGCCTTAAACCCGCTGCCCTGAACGGGGGAACCGGGGCGGTTGTTCGGGGGGTCTCTCGGGGCAGCGGGTTCTGCCGGCGGCTCCGCGCGGCTCAGGCAGGCAGCGCATCAGGTGCCAGCGGAATACGGCTCTCTCCTCTGTGAGCCTGTCCCCGACTGTGCGGGGTCGTGGAGCTCTGATTTCCCCCCCCCCCCTCCCCGGTTTGGGGAGCCGCGGGACTCCTTGCCCGTACAGAGGAGTTAAAACACTCGGAAAATCGTGAGGTCTTGCGACTGTGGAGGGAAAGACAAGGGAAAGAAAGCCCTGAAAGAACGCAGCTCCCTTCTGTTTTCCTTTGGGGAAAGCACGCTGTGTGCACGCTGCCTGTGTTCATTCCGGTGGAGAAGATCCAGTGCCTTGCTAGGGTTCTGCCCGTGTAAACTCGTGTATGTGGGGACAGCCTTAATCCTGTTCCTCCTTCCATCTGAGATTCTCTGTGCGGGGAACGCAGGAGATGATCAGGCTGCGCATTAAGCTCCTGCAAATGCATCATACAAGCGCCCCAGCATATGAATGTAACATGTATTTACATTTCCTTTAGATAAAACATAGGTAAGCACACTAAACGTTGCAGAACAGCATCAGAAACCAGGGCGTGGGGTGTAAGGCTCAATCCTCAGCCTTTCCAGCAAGGACAAACCCTTTTCTATCTTCTTTGTGACCTCAGTTTAGGGTTACATCAACGCAACTCTGCTGACTTTCAGTAGCATTGTGCTTTCTCTCTCTCTGTTCTGCTCTCTAGAGAACAGAATCACAAGCAATCCGGTAGGATTTCTCCCATAAATAAGACAGAGAAAGGGAGAGGGACAGGGGGTTGTTTGTTCGTTAACTCCTCACTCCTTCTAAAACAGACAGGATATTCAACAGAAAGTTTTCAGCTTCTGCTCTGCTGGAGGGGCCCTACCGTGAAATTGCAGCCTTGTCATTATGAAATCATCATCTTTTACCATAGAGTTAATTGGAACGTGATATATTACAGCCTAGCAGCCAAATTAATTCCTTGGAAAGTACGTTCAGAGTTTCCATTAGCTTAATGGAAAAGTGCACCTGTATTTCTCATTCTAGTTGAGCCAAAGTATTAATTGTAGGAACAAAAAGCAAGATGCCGATTTGAAGCTGTTGATTCCTGCTTAGAGTCAGGTACGGCAGAAGTTGCTCCTACAGGTTCTCCCCACTTCCAAAGCCTTCCTTGAGCTTTGCAAGGTTATTGCAAAGGGTGGATGCTCTGGGTGATCTTTTCGCGAGGCAGAAAATTGCGTAGATACCCCCAACAGACAGGGGAAAATAAATGCAGCAGTACCGTAGCATTAGCATCGGGCATTCCTTTGTTCACGCCTTCATGGGGTGGGAGTTAACAGCGGTTCTTTTCCTGAGAGAGTTCAATTTGCAGAGGAACACGGCATGTGACGTGCAATCTTTCTTTCATAGTGCCTTTGGCTTCAAGAACCTCTGTGTATTATACACACACACCCTTCTACTCTTCTCAGTGATTGCCTATTGAAGGACCAGGTCCTAGATGCTAAGGTAGGGCTTGGGTGAGCACTTCTCAGCGCAGTGAAGGCTGCTTTTAAACCCCAAAGGGCCACTGTCAGTGGCAGGGGGAGTTTCTTCAGTACCAACAACAGACAGGAGAGGGATTACCCGAACGGCTGTGGCTGAGCAGTTCCTAACATCTTCTTGCAGGGGTCTGTCACATACACACGCTGATACAGAGCTGACCGTATGGAGCTCATCACAGTTCGATAGCGAACACATGGAAAACAGATAACAGATGTGTTCTCTCTGCCCGCAGCTGCCGAGGTGCCTTGTTCTATTATGGGAGCCACTCTTCTCTTGGTTGCATATGCTGCACCACGACTAAAAAGCCTCTTATATCTGGAAGAAAAAAAGGTGTGAGCTACAGTTGCTTTTATGTGAGTGCTCCAGTTCAGTTCAACTACTTACACACGCCATAGGATTTGACCTGACATCCCCAGTTGTCATCTGACTGAATTTCACCTTTAGTTGTTGATGATAACTTCTTTTCTTCTGTCTGGAGTTACTTCATTTAGAATGAGTTGGCTCTTGAAAGCCTCAGTAGCCAAGTGGCTGGTTTGGAAGCACACAGGAATGCCCTGGACTTCCTACTCTGGCAATACTGTGCAGAGGCGCTTAAACGAGTTTCTGATACCTTTAAAAGTTTAAAGCCAAATTATGCCCTTTGTTCATTAACCATTTAACCCATAGGAGCCATAGGAGGCTCCTCACAGAAGTGAAGAAATTCTGTCTAACGTGATAACGATGATTTTTGTCAAGAGGAATTGTGACATGAACACTGCGTGCGTGGCACTGCAGTGACTTGGGTAAAGACTTTACCTTCTTCTAAAAGCATCTTTTGTGCTTACCATCAGTTCAAAGGGTGAACATGGCTATTTCCTGTCCTTTGGAGTAACACCCTGTGGAAGGCAACAGAGAAACCCACAAGTAAGCCCTTTGAAGGAGAGAGGGATGGGGAATCCAGCCTCTGAATTTCAGAGGCCTTACAGACACTGGCAGTGTAATCCCTTGGTTTGCAGGTCCGTTCCCCAGGTCCTTCTCGAGATGACTTACGGAATTTCTTGTGGTTTCAGATTCTTGCTCTCTTCCCTGCCTTGGCATGTTTCACTTAGAGCTAGAGATCTGCATCAGATCTGCACAGTTTAGGAGCAGACAGCAGGGATGCCTGTCTCCCCTTCTGTTGCTTCTGGCAATTTCAAGTCATCTTTGCTCTCCTCCGAACAGTGCCAGGAGATGCACGCTGCGGGTCTCTGCGCAGGAACCTGTCCGCACACCAATTTAGGGTCATAATCCTTTGGGGAGAGCTTCTCAAGCCAGTAACGCAAAGTCATTTGGAGCTGCTTTACTGCCAGCACAGTTCTATCACCTGCCTCAAAACTATTTTTGTAACACTAAATACAAGTAGCTTGTTAGCACAGGGGGAGGACTGGTGCCCCTTGTATAGAACGCTTTGGGTTGGAAAGGACCTTATGATCATCCGGTTCCTACCCCTGCCACGGGCAGGGACCCCTTCCACTGGAGCAGCTTGCTCCAAGCCCCTCTGTCCAACCTGGCCTTGAGCACTGCCAGGGATGGGGCAGCCACAGCTTCTCTGGGCACCCTGCGCCAGCGCCTCTGCACCCTCACAGGGAAGAGCTTCTGCCTTAGATCTAACCTGAACTTGTCCTGTTTTAGTCTGAACCCATCACCCCTTGTCCTATGGCTGCAGTCCCTGATGAGGAGCCCCTCTCCAGCACCCTTGTAGCCCCCTTCAGACACTGAAAGCTGCTCTCAGGTCTCCGTGCAGCTTCTCTTCTCCAGGCATTCCACTTACTAATCGTGCTAAATTTTATATTGAGAGAATCACTCTGTTATTGAGCCTATGAGACTGCTGTGTTCTTAAGCAAAAGCAAATCAATGCAGTAACTTCTCCATACAGCATCCCTCACCTAGTGCCGGTAGCTTGGGTTTGTTTTTTTTTTTCCCATCTCTGCAAAACATCAGCTTAAAAAGTTGCATTTGGACGTTAAGACACACAAAAATCATCGTTCCTTCATGGTGTTTCAGAACACCTGAATGCTCACATCCAACACTGTTCAAAAAAAGCCCAAATAACTCCTTTCCTGGGTAGCGTCTAAGCTGAACACCGCATTATTGCTAGGTTAAAACAGGAGGGTGAAGGTAAAGGAGGGAACTACAGACCTAGGTTAAAAACAGACGTGGACTCTTCCAATGAATTTATGAAAAATAGAGGTAACATGAAGAGGAGAAGCATAGCAGTGCCTGGCCACAGGAGAGCCTTAACAGACCCACTACTGCTAGGTGCCACTCTTGTTCGAAGTACATGGAATGGGCACTGAGGACACCAGGGCTCGAGATGTTCACGCCCAGGTATCCCACGAGAGCTGTGAAAGGCATTTGCCCCTTCCCTGGGGAGTGCTGGGTTGTTACAGCCTCCCACATCAGGCACTGGAGTTTAATGCATCAAGACATGTTACTGCTACCAAAGCAGGGACAGCATGGGAAAGAAAAGGCAGTGAGGTTTTTCATGCAGGGAAACTGGCTGCTCTGTGTGGCCTTCCTGTGCTGTTCGTAATGAGACAGAAGCCCTGCTCATTTCCAAAGGATTAAAATCATCCCCCAAACATTTGCTGGAATGACCAGTCCTCTTCCTGAGCAGGAATTTGACCGCTCTTGGATGATTTTCAGCTTTAATGTGCTTGACATGGAAATAGGCTTTAGCAACAATTTAACAAATCAGGGCCGACAGACTTTAATCTTTAATCCTGTCACAGACTGTCTTTAATCATATCTGTTTTCCTCATGTGTCCCGTTGATGTGTATGTTTTATTTACAAGCTTTATAGATAACAGTGCCGCTAAGAAATGTTTTGGCTAGGTTTCAGCCGCCTCAGAGGGGAATATTGAGCCTATTCAAATTGGCACGCTGGGGCAGAGAACGATGCTAAGAGGAAATGTTCTAAGACATTCACAATATGATTTTTTTTTTAAAGTAATAAATATTTGCTGAATATTTCAATAATGTTTTCAGGAAATCGTCTTTTCTGAAGTGGTTTAACTCGTTGTGCATCAACCACCAGCTTATTCTGAAAGGGAGTTATCAGATGGCACAGAAAATGGAGCACTGATGGGATTGCAGTAGAAGCGAGGCTTGCAAAGGCCTCCTTTTCTGCCTGTGGACAAAGGACTCATTAGAGCAATCTTGAAAGGCTGTTAAGTACCAAGAGGCTGAAAATTTTAGGATGAAATAGCCCTCTTTTATGTGCTGAGGTCTGGGGCGATGAACAGCAAGTCTGAGCAGGAACGACCTGTAGCTGAATAAAAATGAGGACTTAGGATTTTCTCTCATTATTTACAGATTTTGGGAGGAATCTTTAGGGAAACACTTCCTGAGGTTATTTCTAATTCCCCCTCTCCTTTTGAATAGCAGCTATTTTAAAACTGAACTGATTGGGGGGGGGGGGGACACACCAACCAAAAACTGCGATGGACGTTTATAAAATAGGTACTCCATTTTACCATGGAAAGGTCATGATTTAATTACACAGCTACAGATTGTAACGCAGCATTATTCCAGGAATAGGCAATAAAAGGCAGTTTGTCCTGTGACTATGCAGCAAATACTTTGAGACTTGTTTACAGCAGATGCAGTAACTTTAGCCTTCTGAGCTCATGCAGTTTATTTGGCTTTAACTTTATACTCGGTTAAGTTCCCTTGAGGACTAACTGTTATATTTGCTTTCCGTCTTAGATGTTATTTACCCATTGAAAAGGTTAGCCACAAAGATAAGTCACTACAAGGAGAGGAGAGGGAAACCTGAGCTGAAAGCGAGCATGTGGCTTGTAGCCCTCTAGATTTCCCAGCAGGCCAGCGCTCACCAAAGGGCTTATTCGACGCCGTTCAACAGGACTGCTGAAACCCATCTACAACAGGCAAAAAGGAGTGACAGAGAGAGGGACTATGGAAAAGATGTTCCGCTGGTGGCTAAGAAGTAAGGAGGGGAAAGAAAAGAATTAAGGGACACCCTGCTTCTGTCTTCTCCCTAGCCAGGATGCGTACAAGTGCCGAGAAAGAGGGATAAATGTGAAAGGGAGAACTGCAAGTGCAATATGTAACGGAGTGGCGGTAGCGCATCTCCCACTGCCTTGATCTCCCTTTGTCATTTCTGCATCAGTGATGTTCCTTAGCTCTCTTCCAATCCGATCCACAAGAGAAGGCTTCTTTAGCCCCTCCTTCTGAAGTACAACTGATCTAAAGTATTTCTTGTGCTAGGAAGTGCCAGAGTGAAACAATGGATTGATCACATTTTCACTTGCACAGTGATTTCCCAGTTAATAGCAGGCCCCTGAATCAATGTTGGTTCATAAAGAAGACTCCTGCCTCTTTCCTTGGCTTATCTTCTTCACCAGCAGTTTGGGCGAAGCAGAAGCCAGTCGCTGTTGACTTGTCATCCCAACAGGTCTGCAGCCAAACTGACATGAAACTGGGGAGCTGAACCCTACATACAATCACAGCTTTGTTTGCCACTGCAACGGTCAGGGCCAAACTTCCTTAAAGCTCGACTCAAGACATAACCTGCCTCATTTGTGCCAGAATGAAGGAATCACGTTTCCAACGTGATCAAGGCATCAGGAGGCAACAGCAAGTGAAAAAGCTTTAAATAGTTACGGATTGCTTTTTCATGTAAATGCTCCATGTCACAAGACACAGGCAGCACGACTGAGAAATCTCATGCCATGTAGTGAAATACACTGGTGGAATTGTTGACTCTTTCTGACTGCAGTATTCCATCCAGATCCATTTTTTCTTTTAACCATGACATGAGAGCTCAACTAGCCGATATATTAGGACATTAAGACTTTCTAGGTGTGCCCATTGCCATGATCTTCCCGTCTGAGTGATTTTACTAAGGGAAGCCTTAGGTATTTCCTCATCATGTGGAACAAGGCTATAAGAGAACCTACCCTGATTTCTTTCATCCAAGAGGACCGATAATCCACATTCATACAGTAGTCATTCTATATATTCTGTACATGGCTCCTGTTTAGAAGACATTCAGATCTGAGCATTTTTTACAGTAAATGAAATGTGCATCTGAGGTAGTGCTCACTCACCTTCATTACTAAAAGAAACAGGAGTATTTCCCAAAGCTTAACCTTTAAGAGAACACATCATTCTTCAGAGCAAGCTGGTTCTGAAATCCATCGAAAGGCGCTAACAGGAACAAGTGTTTTATAAGCCCTTTATGAAGAAAGGCCACTTGCTCCAGAACTTTGTTATTCATGAAACGAGGAAAACAGGGTCTGGTTTCAGAGAATAACTATTTTGTTAAGTAATTAATTGATGTTCATTTAAATCTGCTGTGGCTGGAATGACAGTGTCCCTTAGGACTTTACATCAACTGACCGTTACTGTTTCCTCCATTGTTTTAGCATAAAACTCAATAAAGAAACAGAAATGAAGGATAAATAAAGAAAACTTTAGTTTATGAAGCTTTGATGCAAGTTAGTTTATAGAATCTATCCGCATAATTACAGCAGTTACAGGAGGTTGTTTTTCTAGCAGGCCACTGTATTAATAATGATAGATTTCAGACCTGGTGAAAGATGATACAGATGTGCTGGGGAAGCAAGCTTTTAGGTATGAAATGACAGTTGGATTATTACTTGCAAATCACTCAGTTGCTCCAGGCATTAGCTGGTTAGGGCGCCTGCAGTAGCAAAAAAAGGCTGTGATTATATGCAGCATTTTCAGCTCCCCCTTTCACATCAGGTTGGTTGCAGACCTGTTGGGATGAGAAGTCAACGGTGGGTGGCTTCTGCTTCACTCCAACTGTTGGGGGAAAAAAGATTAGCAAAGGAAAGAGGGAAGAGCTGCTTCCATCCCCTCCTGGATTAAACAAGCGTGCTCAGTCTGAATGTTTAAGAGTAGGGTTCTTTCCAGGTGGGAGGTTTGAGACTACAGCCCCAGCAGCTATAAAATAATCTCAGAGGAACATGGTTTTCTGTTCTTACCTTCCACTGGTTTCAAGTTGAGATACCCTCAAGGCTCATTCCCTGTGCTGGGGCCTGAAAATACTGAAGAACATGCTGAAATCACCTTCCAGGATTTCTCCAGGCCATTACCTGTATTTGGCAAGAAGAAGATCTTGCTCTGGTTACTTTGACCTTTTTGCTGCAACACAATTTAGGTGGAGTTAAAACAAATTCAATAATGCAGAGCATAGTGATAAATGGGAGGACATGAGCTTATTACTCTGCGAACCCAATGATGAAAAATGAAATACCGTCTGTATTTACTGGTAATACCTATAAAGTTCTGAGTATGGTTCTAGGTAAGCCCCTGTTTGAGATGCAGATCAAACAGACTGGTTTAGGTTGGTTCCTGAAGAACCAGTTTGCATGACTTAGCCAGTGCAGAGGCTGATTTCTGTCTACTCGATCTTCATTGCCATTTCAGTTTAGCAGTCTGGTCCTATACATTGCTGTTCATAACCAGCCACCTCACTGAGCCACAGACCTTGGCATTCTAAACTGAGTCAGGCCTCACAGATTTAAAACAAAAAGGGAACAAAATCCCCCAAGTCCCATTTCCTGCAGGCTTCCAGTGTTTGTAGGTGTATTTGCCCAGTATGAGGACCAGTAGCAACCTATGATACAAAGCAAATGATCGGTGAGTTCTCAGCAATGATAGGTTTAAACTCCTTACTAGGCCCTCAGGTTAATTGCTGCAACCTGGTGCTCCATGTGTTGGATGAGAACAGCATGGCTTTTCTGTTCCTCATTTGTGCAGGTCTCAGTGTCAGTCCGGTGATGTCTGTGCCCAAACCGAACAGTCGCTACCGTTTCTGCCCAGAACATAAATACTGCCCTTTGTTTCCTTTGACAGGATAATCGAAGCTATCTGCATAGGCTGGTTCACTGCAGAATGCATCGTGAGGTTCATCGTCTCAAAAAACAAGTGTGAGTTTGTCAGAAGACCTCTCAACATCATCGATTTACTGGCGATTACTCCGTACTACATCTCTGTCCTAATGACAGTTTTCACAGGGGAAAACTCGCAGCTCCAGAGGGCTGGCGTCACCTTGAGGGTCTTAAGAATGATGAGGATTTTTTGGGTGATTAAACTGGCTCGTCATTTCATTGGCCTTCAAACACTTGGTCTGACTCTGAAGCGTTGTTACAGAGAGATGGTGATGCTCCTTGTCTTTATCTGTGTTGCTATGGCAATTTTCAGTGCACTCTCCCAGCTTCTTGAAAACGGGCTGGACTTGGGAACAAAGAACAAGGATTATGCCAGCATTCCTGCTGCTTGTTGGTGGGTGATCATCTCGATGACCACGGTGGGTTATGGGGACATGTGTCCCATCACTGTCCCAGGAAGGATTCTTGGAGGAATTTGTGTGGTCAGTGGCATCGTGTTATTAGCCTTGCCAATCACTTTCATTTATCACAGCTTTGTGCAGTGTTACCATGAGCTCAAGTTCCGATCTGCTAGGTACAGTAGAAGTCTCTCTGCTGAATTCTTAAACTGACCCAACTCGCATTGTGTTGTAGTTACTTGCTAAGCTTTGTCTTAGAAGAGAATGGTGGAAGGTCCCTTCGCGTGTCCTCCTTGACTGGATGGTCCAGTGGAACAGCATTCTCGCCAGCCTGGAGAAAGCCCGTCACCATTCAGACAGGAAGGATGGCCATCCGCCTTGGGCATGTCGCAGGGACAGGGAGCGATGCTTCAAATTTGAGAGAACAAAATTAACACAAGAGGATTCAGAAATCCTCAACCAGACCAGCTTGGTTTTCAGTTTGCCTTTCCACGTAAAAGCAGAACAAGAAATGGGCTTAACACTGAGCTCCGGCGTTCCCATAATTACATCCATTCTAAGCAACGTGTAGCAGAAGTTTTTCAACGATTTCAATATCTAAATGCTCTGCAAAGGCATTGGTAACTTCTTTCCTGAAGTATCTCCACTCCTAACTCAGATAACCAAGCTCGATACTGAAGGAGAATCACTGCTACTTTTGAGCTTCATCACAGACTAGAGCTAGTTCTGTAACTCAGGAGAGATGAATAATACGTGACTGCTGTAGGGCAATGAATCTTGAGGCCTGATTCTGATCTTTGGTGAAGCACACAAATCTTCTGTAAAACCAGTGAAGTCAGTGGCATTTGCCTGAGTTTGATAATTCAAAGTGCAAAAAGTGCACCTCCGAATCACAGAAAGGTTTGGGTTGGAAGTGACCTTAAAGATCATCTAGTTCCAATCGCACTAGACCAGGTTGCTCAATTAGCCACAATTAATTTCTTCTCTGGAACCGAATCGTTAGTGGAAGCAAGCGTTGTACTTTACAAAGATCAGCATAAAAAAATCAGGCATTGATAAATACATTTTCTGGTAGCTTAGTGGGGGTGCTATCCATATCTTAGGTACATTGAGTTCAGCTCCATCCGCCTGAAGTCACATACTCATAAACATAGATTCCCCCCTATTTAATTAAACATGCACATCTTAGTGAAGGTTCTCTAAGACCAACTGTAGGATTACCATCACTTGCAACAGTCTGGAGAAAGCACTGCTAAACAAAGAGTAGCTGCTCCCTTTCAGATGAGACTTTTCAGCATCTTTAAATCCTGCAGTCCTTACTGAAGGATACACTTCACTCTAATGGTAGGTTAAAAATAACCGTAAAAAGCCCAGAGCATACCAAAGAAAGTAAAATACAGAAGTGTGAGTTGCACTTGGCAAAATGGTGTATTCTCCAATGTAACTAGGAAATGAGTCAAATTGGGTTCTGAAATACTGCTCACTACATTTCGTGTGTACTACTGACCTAATAGCATCAGTCAGTACAACTCTGAAAGGCTGCTACATAGAAATGTGGACGTCAATACTAAAACGCATTAAGGTACAGCTTTACACATTTAGGTACTGATAAACATCAAAAGGGAGCTTTCTTATTAACACAGAATTTGAGAGTCATCAGCATAGTTGAGTTTGGTGTGCTTGCCTGAAAATACTGCGTTTACCATTACTGTGATGTAGAACCATCTTTTGTATACATATTTGTCAAAAGCTTTAGGAGCAAAATGAGTACCACCTAGAAGACCCATCTCTGAATCGCTCAGTCAGAGAAAAGTACCCTGTTGGTCAATAGCCAGTACACTGAAGGCTCTACCTTGAGACCTGAACAATCCATTCTCATTTTAGGTGATCGTAAGTCTTAAGTAGTCGTAAAGAATGACATTGCAAACACAGTATGTCTGAAGACCTGAAAAGAATTTTAGTCGCCTTCTTACCGGCAAGCTTGACTTTTCCTTCGGCAGCATCTCAAGGCTATATTGTTAAGTCACATTACAGCCATCCCTGGGTTTCTTGTCATGTTCTGGTGTTCAGGTTAGCTCTGTAGTTCTGTCTACTACTGTATCGATGCCTTTTGTATCAGAATCACGTCATTCGGCAACCGGTTCCAGCATTCCACAGCGGGGTGAATATGAGATCAGCAAAAATGTCTTGGGTGAGATTCACAGCTGATGTCAGTTAGCCAAGGTGTGACTTCAGAGACACGGAGATGTTTTACACCAGTGGACGTGCTTGCTCTGTATTCCTGCATGTGTACTTATATATATATCCTGCATATATTATATATTATAGTCAGTGGAAATGCTGGGGTGGGTTTTTTTTCTCCTTACAAAAAATGTCGTCCTTGACAAAATTGAGCTTTCAGACTTTAATCTCAGCACAGCTGGTGAAGAAAATGACATGTTCATCTTCTAATGAAAAGTTTGACAGTATCAAAACCATTTTCAAGGAGAAAAGTGCTATTTTTGGGGGGGTTTCTGCTCCAATTTTTTTTTTTTCCCCATTAAAAACCCAACCACATAAGAACTCAACCCTACAGATCCGTAATGCTTGGGAAAAAAATACTGGGTTTCCTGAAAACTTACTTTGTCTTTTGTCCGTATATTGTATTTAACCAAACCAGTACTCTGAGATACAACCCTCCTCCCACAGAACGCCCAAACCATCGTCACGATGACAATAGTTTGAAATCCATACAGAATGTGAATATAAAGCATGTTGCAGTCCTGATTTCAAGACAAAATAAAACGCATTTCAGCACTGCCTATAAATCTAATCTTTCGATGCCTGTACAAAGGAAAAAATAGAAATTACTGCGCATAGTAACTTCAGAATACCAAGTTGCACCGTGAATCATTTTGTATAAGCAATTAAGGACAGGATGTTTTCAAAGATCCAGGCTGTATGTGGGATCCAAACAAAATGTCTGATCCTTTATAAAGTGTTTTCCAGCTAAACAATCTTTTCCTAGCGTAAAAAGATTACCTAATGAAAATAACTGCGCAAAGGAAGACGCCTGTGGACGTTAAGTCTTACTTCTTTAACCGCTTCTGTTCACTTCTTATATGGCAAAATGTGAACAGAATGAGCTCATGTATTCTTTATTTTGAGGGAAAATATTTTGCTCTATGGAAGCCCATTAAGAAGAGGTACTGGGGTGGGGGTTTTCTTTATTCGTTTTTTATTGTTGTCTGGTTATCAGTGTGTAGACTTTCGTTTCCTTAGAAACCAAGTTGAAGGAATGTGATCTCAATGGTAGCCTTAAACCAGAACTTGATAGGGTAAATAGGGTTCCTGACTTCTAGTAATATAGATCATCTTATTTCCAATAGAGCAGCAGTTTTTTAGTGAAACTAAGAAGAAACGAGTGACATGTAGTCAAAACAAAGCGCACTTTTAAACAGATGGAACTGTTCTGCTAGAACTTGAGCCCGTGTTTTACGCAGACACAGGGCGTAGCGCTCAAATTCAAAATACAGCGTTTCAAAGCCACCCAAAGACAAGCTGGCTCATTCCTAATAACTGCCAGTTTGAACCCTATACAGTAGCATACTCCATGGCCAGTACCTCTTTCAGCATCTGAAACATTCAGATTTGGACCAATACAGATGAAATACAAACGTAATGAAACTGGGGATACATGAAGACAGCTTCTGTGACCCAGCCTTTCCGTTCATCTAAAACTAAACCCAGTGCTAACAGTTTTGTGTGCTGCCATTGTATGTGTTGATGACCACAAAGGTTAATCCTACATTATATGCTAGGTTCAGTCCTTAGGACTGACCTGTTGAGAGCTATATATTTGGCTGCAATCCCTCAGGGTACTGTGTGCCATTTAAAAGCATTGGATCGCTAATGAAATCACTGGAATGGAAAAGCTGTCTGGGTGCATTTTCCTTCTACAGTGCTGCATGAAGCAGCATCCCACAAATCACAAAGAATGGAAGAATATAATTCCCCTTGATGCAAGACCTGGAAACAATATTGTCTTGATGAATACTCATCAAAAGGAAAAAAGATCAATTTGAGTAATTTTAAACAGTTTTATCAGCATGGGGAACAGCCACTGGGATGTGATACTTATTCCTACTGTACAACGGCTTACCCTGTTGTACATAGCAGCAAGTTTGATGAAGATGAAAGCCCTGTTAATGTAAGATTCATATAGTGCTACCCATGTATTTAAAGGAAAAGGGACTGGCTTTCCATGTCCTGTATGCAGTTTGTCCCCATGAAGGAATCGTTCTTTAGCTTTTGTAGCATCCAGCCCTCATGTTTTCAAAATAAACCTGAAGTCCTTATGGGTCCCAAGCACTTGTCTCTTCCCCTCTGGGTAACAAGTACAGAAATGTTCCCAGCTCTGAACGCCTGCCAGAAGCGGTCATATGCACAGACCAGCCAGCTAAATTCAGCAGCCAAACCAGGCAGTTTCCTGGGAACCTGCACGATGAACGCGCTCTGCTGTGATCTGAATTTTCTCCCACCTAAGAGCTTCAGGGTAAAACCACTGATTAAAGTTTGATCACTTGAAGCACCTTGAACATGTTAGAATTAGCCTTTCAAATGAGCTTCTAAGGAAGGAGATGTTTGCTGGAGAATGAAAGGGGCCGTGCATAGCAAACAGGATTAGAGCACCTTACACCAAAAAAAAAAAAAAAAAAAAAAGTCATAAGAAAGTCATTCTGATTCTAAATAAAAGGAAACAGACTCTCATTTTCTGGCCTTTTTTTGTAAAAGCAAACATGTAGGTCAGGGTACCTGATGCTAGTTAAACCTGCTACATAAAGCAGATCCCCATTTAAATAAGTAGGCTTAGCAAGAAAGGTCTTCCAGCTTTGCTAAGCTCCAGCAGTTCACACTAGCTGAAGAGCTGCCCCAGCCCATATGGAAGGAACAACAAAACGCTGGTGTATAGTCAAAAGCTATTATGATGTATGGCCTGTGAAATGCAACACAGCGTAGGGGGTATCTTTTGCAGGTGACAGGAGAGGTTAAGCATCAAGAAGGCTCACAGCGAGCAGCCAAGACTGACAATCTGCTTGACAAGGAATTGTCAGAGCCACAGAATTTAAATCTTTGGTCAAATTAAGAAAATCTGAATGTTTGCAACTCTGCATTTTAGACTCCTGTATTCTTTACAAATGCAAAGGTTTATAATTTTATAGAACATTAATTTTATATATTGTTTGCTTATTTGTAAAGAAAAATGTATACTATAATTTGGAAAGATAATAAGTGTGGGGTTTTTTTTTTTATGTGAATACAGAATTAGATGCATAAAATCACGTAATAAAATTTGCTGGTCCTGTTGCTGTATGTCATGGATTAGTAGTGCTCAAAACATAGATGTTCATAAAATGTGTCCTTTGTAACAAGGACTTCTGTGGCTATTCCTATTGGTATCGTACCGCAGCAGAAACTCTTCTTCTTGAACAGTTTTTGGCTCCTGAGAAGTCTGCCATTCAGAACTTAGGAGTTCTACTCCATAGAAAATGTGAGTATTTGATCCAGAAGTTAGTTTGAGCCAAAAAACGAAGTTAAACCTATACAGGGTTATTATTCAGCAGCTGAACATCTATTATAATGATGGACAACAGAACAGCCAAAACACAATGAAAAAGCAGCCGTGTAACACGTCCATTATTCTTCAGGGATCATTTACAAGAAAAAGAATGGAAAAATGGATTGAATTTGGCTTTGAGTTCACGGAAATGCATTTCTATTTAAAACAGAACACATTGACATGGGCTTCACTATGGAATTTCAAAGCCACAGAAGGCTCACCAGTGCAGTGCCTGCATTCCTGGGTGCAGATCTGAGGCACTCGGGCGGGTCTTTAAATGCAGCCATTTCAAAAGGACTTCCAAAAATAAGCAAACTAACGTTCCTGAAAGAAATGAAGTTTGAATATTTTAAGAGCTCCATGAGTTACAAACTATTCTGGCACCAGCCCACTGCGTTATTAGGAAAATGATCAGGCTTTGTGTTTCGAAACCGGGAGCGGTTTTACTTCTCATATCTTATGTATGAGTTTTGAAGGGTTTACTTCAATTCAGTCTGTGCAGAAATGAAGCAGTGTCCACAGAGCTGTACCAGTGTAGTTTAGAAGGGTTTGGCAGCAGAAGGGGTTTTTTTAGCGTTTGAACATTATCACTTTACAGCTGTGCTCAGCACTTGCACTTCCCAGCCGCCTGAGATGCAACTGTGAATAGACTGAAGCCCCCAAAATAAGACTGATTCTTTATACATGTGTTTGCTGTAAGAGTTTTAAAAAGGAACCAGTGAAGAGGTTCATGGAAATCTCACCAACCTACCAGTTCAGAATGAGAATTCCTTCCCTGGGACTCCAGAAATGCTCCTCGTCAGGTTTTAGATTTCTTTTCACTGCTCTTTTACCAGTACTGAAGTAGCTAACTAGGAAATGCAGTGAGGACCAGGCTGCTGCTGTACTAAGTACTCTGCAGCTATGGGTCAAAATGACAATGCTGCACCCAAACCCTATGTAATCCAAGCCTGAAACACAAATCAGCAGCTATCTGCAGACAGCAGTGCAAGCAAACAGCATGGTATTTCCCTGTAACATGAGTGTCGCTTATCTGTTGAGTCTGATACACGTTAAGTAATAAGCGTTCAAATACATTTTATTTTAACCCTTGGTTTAGAGAGGCTCCCAGAGATTGCAGTGCTTAGAAAACAGTCTGCTCCATTGCTAAAGGCCCTGTCAGCCCCACTGGCTGTGCCAAGACAGCACAACCTTTAACCAGGACGTTTTGTTGTTAGGTTTTCGCATTCAGACTTAATGTCACTTGATGGGATGCTGTGAATGAGTAAAATTGGAGCCGTTTATTGTAATAGCATCTTGAATCCTTGATGCTATGTAAGGGTACTGTTATATGATGCCATATAAAAGAGACAAACAATCCCAACAGTGTATTCATTAAGTATAGCCATGCAGAAACTCACAAGCTAGCAAAGCATCGCTTATATATCACTTCAGTAAAAAACTAAATAAATACAAATCTAAAAGTCTGGATTCCTGCCAGAGATTCTTGCTTAAAGCCCTCACATTTATATGGACTCCTTGAGTATCCCTGCCTTTGCATGCAGAATCTTTAGGCTGTACCTGTTGGGTCCTTTGATACAAACTAAGCCTGTAGGTCACAGCAACGTTTTGGTCTCTGTTGACTGGAGAGGTTTAAAAACCAGGTATGTCTGAAGAGAAGAGTTTTCCTCAGGGGAGTCAGGAAACCAGCAGAGAATAAAAGCTGAAGATGAATTTTGCTTTGTTTTAGAAAATCTATTTGTCATCTGGGTCATGGAAAAC